GTGTCATCATACGAAAAACTGGGACTCTTTTGTTGTACCACTACTGTACAGAAACCGAAAACAGTATGTAGCTTTTGTAGCTGTAATTGGAAGTGTGCCTCGTACGGTTGGTATCATTATTGAATTGAACGCAGGCAGTTGCTCTTGAGAATGCGTTATGTGCACGTCCAGGCCGTCGCTTGTCCACTGAAGGACTTCATCTCCATTCTCTACCACCCAGTCACTAACAAACAACACATCCGAATGCAGGAACAATGAAGCAACCGCAAATGCAAATCACTTGGCCTAGTATCTCGTCCGCCTCTTCTTTGAGACCTCGGGAACGTGCGTTCCCTCGGTGCATCCAGCCGAATTGCCGTCCACTTTACAACAAGTCCATTGAAAGCCTTGGGGATAATCCCGCCTATTTTGGGGATTATCCATAGGACCATGGACATCCTCGTCATGGTCCGGCCACTCCTCATAGTTGACTTTGAGGTAGCCTAATGATTCTTCAGCCCTCAGCCGATGTCTAGCAGGTTGATTGTGTGGTGCATACCCGGGTGATAGACGCACTCGTCCTCTTCTCGCTCCTCGGCGAGGTCAAAAGTTTCGCCACAGCGCTTACAGGTGGTCCAACGAGGCAGGATCTCCGGCGCGCCCTCAGCATCGTCGACCCCGGGCTCGGCTGCGGGCAACGGAGGAGGGTTCGCGGCGACTAGGTTCTCGAAAAGCGTTTGGGTCGAGACCGCATCGTCAGCGACCATGTTCGCTAGAACATCCCGGAGCCTGTCCTCAGGACATGTTTCTATTGCCTTGTACATCTGCTGGCGGGCTGCTGCGCTCAGCTGTCCATTATGATGGGCCTGATTCTGACGCGGGCCCGGTACAGGACACGGATCATCTTCCGGTTCGCTGTCGTTGGTGAGGTCTACGACGTCTCCTCCAAGTTCCGGTGGCCTGGGCATGCATATGCCAGCGGCGACGTAGACGTCTGCCAATACCCTGTAATTCGAGTTAGTATGTGAGGTGAGCGATACTGTAGGACGCATTACGTGGATTTGCCCGTCCGACTTGGTACGTATTGCTAGTGGCACGTACCTAACAACTATGCCGCAATCTCGATACCAGATAGTCAGTTGAAGTCAGACTAGCGCATACAGCGCTAACACGTCATAAGCAGAAATATTGATCATTGCGTGTATAAACGGTCTTCAGACTGATCAAGTGACTTAAGTATCGAAATACGTACTAGTACTAGGTCGGGGGACGCTTCAGTCTATTCGTTAAACTGGGAGCGTGCTCGGCGTGTCTGATTAGAAAATGCTGGCAGCTAGTAAATAATCCAACTCAGTGGTCATGCACACTGACACTTATGTCTAGAGTATAAGTAGTAGAGTCGGACCTACTTACTTTTGCTCCACGTGGCGTGCAACTCCCGGCGCTTGTGCGTACTCACTGCGGCAGCGGTGTGACGCTGTGTACCATTACTCGCTCCCGCGAACTGCGCATGCTGACCATCTCTCCTCCAATCTTACGGTCGAACACGTTCAGGCTGTGTGTCTGACGCCGACCTTGTGGAGCACTGGAACACGACCACCGGAACACGACCACCATCGATTGAGATGAGTCGTCAGCATAAATCGGACACTGGCAGCTCTTCAAGTTGAGCCTGAACGTCGGATCAACCCTCGAGTCCAGAGGCAGATTGCCGTGGATGCGAAGTTACCATTGCTTGATCTGCTCACAACTCGGCACACTCGGTAAGTATCCATCTCTGCAAACTTGCTTCAGCTGTCTCATACTACAACAGCAATAGAGATGCACTCTGGACCGCTTCGTCGTGAGCCCGATGGTGGCTGCAGTTGACTTGTGGGATGAATGTACGGAATAAATTCTCCTAAGAATCAAGATTGGCGTATACGGCGCATATACTCGTCATTTAAGGTGTATAAAACTACAGACCCCTACATTGGACAATTCGATCTTTCGAGGTGAACATCTGGTCCGTGTTGTCGGCGACTTCGAATCCTGACGTGGATGCAGCAGCACACGGTGGCCTGCCTAATCGCCGGTGAGCATCTGCTCTTCTTCACATGGCAGACAGCGTGCTAATCTTCTCGTAGCTTCGTGACACATTGCTCCTGCTGCCACTGGGCCCATAACCATCGGATGCGTGTGACGTCGAACAGCAGCTACGCATCTCATCAGTCGTAAACCTCATCGCCACGGAAGGGCCGTCTCATTGTTCTCGTTCCCAGGATCACCAAGTTGGCCGCTCTTGACTCATCGCTCGGTATGGCCCTTTGCTGAGCTGCGCGAGAGCGAAGCTACGTGACCAGGCACTTCCTGCGAATTCATAAAGCAAGCTTTTACTGGGGCTGTACCAGTACAGATAGTAGCGCATGGTACGCGGCCCATACGTCCGTAGATCGGACTACTTCAACGGAGTCTCAGGTAACCTCTTCGGCACCGCGCTCACAGATATGTTAATGATCCACTTGACCACCGCAGTTGCATCTGCATAACAGTGAGAAATTGTCAATTGCTCAGACGGGTCTCCTTCAAGCAAGCTCGTTCAACGCGTAGCAATTTCCCCAGCAGAGATTCCCAAGGCGAGTTGTTATGTTGCTGGCAGCATGCACGTCCCGTGTGATGTGTCTTTGGTGATCAGGCACGGGTATTCTGCGTGCCTGAAGGTGAATCTTGCCCGCGCATACCGCGCGCGTGATTCGGTGTGAACACGGACATGGTCGAAACGGCCGCCGCTATCGCTCCGTTCTCTCAGATCCGCGGAGTGATTGAGGCGATGCCTTTCATCTTGCTGACGCCTTGGTACTGCCCAGATGTGTCATGCTTCTGCACTTACCGCTTGGGCATGCCGACCACATGCTACAAGTCAGGTTAGTACTGTTGTGGTCTGGCCGCGGCGCCTGAAGACCCTGGAGTCAGGCTCTGCTCTCAGGCTGACCACGATGCTCTACGCGACGTGGCTCGACTTCCCCCGCACGAGAATGCCATAGGAACTAGTGATACGAAATGTGGTTCTGTAGGTTGGGTCAGGCGCGCATTCATGGAGGACTCCGGACTAGAACGCTCAGTTGCTGTTCCGACTGATCAGATCGGGCTCTAGGAAGCGATCAGGAATTTCAACGGGATGAATGCCGAACAATACGTATGACATGGCCTTAGGAAGCCTTCAGCATCGTGACGCACAACGGTAAGTCGCTTCAGTAGGGAACCCACGAGACAATAAGACCTTAGACAGTGTGGTGTATTCAGCAAAGTGAGAACGACGGCAAGCAGGTACTGACAAAGCTACAAAGCAGGCTACTATTTCATACATATGTCTAAACCGGCATTTTTCGCGCGTACCAGACGTCGCGTAACGGCCCCACGAGACGAACATGCGGTCGTGGTCCGGAAGGAGCCTCCGGGGCTTATGGAGACCTCAAGACTTTTTCAAGCGGAGCTGCCATCTCTTCGGGATTGCCAACCCAATGTACGATCTGGTCTTTCGTGGTGATGATGAAGACTAACGCCGTGAATCAGTCTTCGAGAAACCACAATGAGTGGGAAAGAAGCTCACCTAGTGGAATCGATAGGTTTTGACCTGGCTCGAAAAGGCCTACGGAACGGTTCTTAGTCGATACCCCAAGAGGTTAGTCAGCACGGCTCCCTCACCTTGCACAGCGACACGGTGAGAGTCGATGTATATCGGGTAGTTCATGTCACTCCGGCCATCGATGAAGTTCTTGACGATGGGCCGGTCAATTGCCGTTTTGTTGAAGATGCCTTCGTGATTGAAGGTGATGACTTTGACGTCCGGTTTGGTCGCATTAATCCTCGACAGGATGCCGCACACCACATGACAAGGCTGGAGAGGGATGTCTATTGAGAAGTGACATGGAAGCAGGACGGAGCCGCACGTACCCGGCACCAACTGAGAAGGGGTATATTGCGGTTAGCTATCTGACGTTCTGCCGAATAGATAAGCGACGACACTCACGATGCCCAGAATTCGATCAAGACGACCTTCTTGTTTCTCCACCCGTCTTTGCTCGGTCGTATGCACTCAAATGCATCCGAATCAAGCCATGACAGGTCCACCCTCTTGCCGAGGAGGGGGCTTCGCCACCCCGGGCGGAGGAATGCAGGGGGGCCCTTCTTCATTTGCTCCTCGAGGGCTTCCCAGGTCGGTAGCCGTGCCTTTTTCATAAAGCGATCCACCACCGCAGGGTCGTGTGTTGCCTTGAAGCGCGCTTCGGCCAGCTGGGTCAAGTGGTGTCGCGCGTGGAAGCGGGCAGGCGCATACCTACGGCGGCATTCCATCTGGCTGACGTTCGCCGGGCGAAGAGCGATGTCAGAGACCAGTTCTTGTCGGGACATGACGATACGAACCTTGATCCCACTTGTCCTCATATAGTGGCTGGAAAATGGACCAAATATTAGCGCGAAAATCGTTCATGGCTGCCAGCTCTTCTGGCGACTCTCTACCGGTCGGGGTAGCCATGGCTTGGGTGAGGTGGCGAGCTCGAAACTTAGTGGAATGACACGACGTGGACTGGAGTTCACGCTGCCGTTTTATGGGGTGCTGGATGAGAATTAGGAACAGACAAATGGCTCATAGAGGGCGCGCATTCGGCAGTAAGTTGGATAGGAGCTTCAAGATGAGCGGCAGCATAGAGGGAGAGATCTATATACGCCTGCATGGAAGGGTACGTCGTCGGCCTGGGCCAGCCAATCAATCATTAGAGCTAGAATACCCCTCGGCGCTTCCCATCACCAACAACCTCAACGTAATCTCGCGTTTCCTTCACCTTTCTTCCTTTTCCAAGTCCCTGACCTTTCATCATCCCGTTACGTGTTCGATCGAGATTGTCATCCGACGCGACCCACCAGTCATAATGAGTTCTGTCCCGTTTGGGCAACACACATCTCCACGGTCCGTGGCAACTGGTTGTGCAGTGCATAATCTCTTGAACCAATGGGTTATCTAGTAAAGACTACGATGAACAAAATGGACGTTCAGGGGATTGAACCCTGGTCCTCACGCAAGTTGACAAGTGCAAAGCGTGCGCGCTACCACTGTGCCAAACGCCCACAATATAATTTCAACGTAGCTTATACATATCATTTTTGCCCTTTAAGCATAAGCAAGCAAGGAATACCAAGAAATGCGTCATGGTAGGTGCATGCGCAAAGGATTCTCTCTCCAGAGTCTCCACGGCGCTGGCAATAGACATGAAATGGGAAGTCGTTCACACAAGATATCTGATACAGACGACTAAGGCATATTTACGTGACAAGACTATTGACTATCAAAGGACAGTGCAGCCGCGCAAGCGGCGCGCAGCAGCCAGTGCGTGTCTGAATGCGCCGGCGGGCGTACTGCGGCTCGCAATGTCAGCCGCGTGAGCCCCAAGGCCAGAAGACGGGTACAGTCCTGTGCGAGACAAACACGTCAGCATTCCCCTTCACACTAGGCGGTACAATCCGTGAGTCAGGAATGTATGGAAGCGGATACGTAAACCTCGTATTAGCAGCGAGGGCATGACCTCTCCTAGCCCCCCAAGGACAGCTAAAAGAGCGGGCGTGTCCGTAGAATCCGTGGGTAGGCTGGGATAGGAAGATTTCAATGACAAGCCGATCCTCGTGCGCGGACTGCGGGACCCCAGGAGGTTCCGATGGTGCATTTGAGAAGGCATCAGAACAAGTAATCATAGCAGTCCATAAGGTACAGCAATGAAACCATATGTGGCACAGAAGACATAACATGAAAACACGTTGTGGCTGGAACCGGCGCGTGTAGGCCTCCGCGCAAGAAATTGCTGCATATGTTCGCTGGTGCGTGACGCACGGATGCGTCAAAAGCGCCAGAGAGCATCGACACATGTATGATAAAGTGGACAAGCTGGAGCCTTATCGGTGCGGCAATCTGCTCATTGCTGAATGCGCAAGCAAGGCCCCAGTGGGAGAGATATACATCGATTGAATGTGAGAGGCGTTACGCACCGTTTATATTCCCGCCATTTCGGATCATTTGCAAACTTTAAATTGCCCGCTCTCTGTAAATCACCACAGCGTGGTTACCTTTTCCGGCGGAAGAGCCCATACAGGAACTCACCTCCAAGGGCGGCACGCCGGACACATTACGCAACAGGAACCATGTCATGAGCGGACTCGCGCCGGCTAGCAGCCACGAAGCGCGGGGGTAAGAGGGCGCGCACAACGAATTGACAGAGAGTAGCCATATTCCGGTCCACAGGCCCACCTCTCCAACATAGCTGAGAAGCAGATAGCGGTCAATTAAACCATGTATGTCGCGGAAAGTTGAAGTGCAGCTGCGACACCTACTTCGGATGGCGGCTAATGCTCCACAGGCCGCTGGTTATGAAGCTTTCGTCATGCTCCTTATTGTCTCTCGCTCGGCGCCAGACCGACTTCTGCCTGTCTGCGACTGCGAATAATAAGTCAGGGTCCTTTACGTTGTCGTCTGGAAGAGTCCGGAAAGATTGCAAAGATACCCACTGATCTCAAATAACCAGGAACCGGTAAACAAAGCAAGCGAGAAGTAGTCGAATGAGCGGAGCGGCGGGTGCAAAGATGCAGGTAGCGCGTTGACCTAGTTAGGATTATCATCCCCGACTGCTTGTATTCAGCGCCGCACAAACCGACTCACCATATATACGGGTAGACCGACCACAAACACCCACGTAGCTACGCAGTTATCGAAGCATATATTAGGTTGTACGAGGGAAGATGACTAGGACGATACCTTGGGCCATCCAGAAAGCTGTGAACGTCGCCGGCTTGTGCTTGATTTCGTCGAATCTTGAGTCGCCCCCTGCTTTCATTGCCCTCTGTGGGACCATGATCTTCAGCTTATACCCATTTCTCAGTAGGGTCTAGCGCTGACCATGACTAAGAAGCTACCGAGCCGCGTGCTCCAGGCAACAATGGCTGCACTCAAAAGTAATTGTCTGGGCGCAAAGCTGGTGATCGGAGGAAGCCGAGCATTGGGAAGGTTGTCCCAGTACTTCGCCTTAAAGGATGGATAGTAGAGCGAGGCAACAGTGCTTGTAACAAATCCAAGTGATCCACCAAGGTCATAAAATTTCTCGTTGGCTTGTGGGACGAAAATAAGTGCCAGCACTACAGAGGACGTCTTGAAGTAAGCTACAGTGTTGAATTTTAAGAAGTGGACGACGTACCGGATTGAAAACCGTACGACGTCGCTGCGGTCGGCAGCAGGCTTGAAAATATCGACATTTGTAGTCTCAGCAGACAACACGGTCGTCTGCAGGTTGTCTATTAGTCTCTGGCACCTCGATGCTGTCCGCACACGGACCACGGTACTCTATGTCTCGCCGACGAAGAGACGGTTAAAGGCCTTTGTCTAGCGGGTGAGATGGTGGTAGCGAAGAATTGGAGTACGCATTGGATGGCGCCCCTTGGCGTTCCATCCGAATGCGGAATCCGAGTTGTACAGAATGTCAGTGAAGTTGGCAGGAAGGCAGCCATGACGCATGGCACGTGATCGTGACGCGTAGTGGTGACATCATGCGGGCCTTGGCACTTGCGACCGGCGCGGGAGCCTGATCTAGAGCGCGGACGTGACTGGCCCGCAAGTACTACATAGCACACTGGCATACAGTATGTATACTTATGAGGCTCCGAATTGTCGACGCCATACGTTGCACAAATACTGTTGCTGACCTCCTCCTGTATGCCTCTGCGGTGTTTGCTGGAATCGTCTACTATCGCCGCATTTATCAAGGAATATCGACTAACTCGTTGGACATAGAACTTGTATGATGTATCAGAATACGCCTCATGGCTACCAACGGTCATGTCAAGCCCCAGAGTCAGTCTTACACAAGAGCTCTCCGACCCACACACCGCATCCACCGCCCGAAGACCATCCTAGACGCAAGGCGCACGAGACACACGAGATCCCTGATACCGGATGGCGGGGCGAACTGCCGAGTATGAAGGGCGGTACGTACGAGAAGGATTACATGCACAAGCCGCCATATGAATGGAAGAGCGAGGGAGAACTTTTTCGACCAAAATACTACTTGTACGCTACTTTTTCTTCCCATCTTTGACTGGACAACTAATACATCGATTGCGTAGGCAATGCTGGTGCGGGCATGTTGCATTTGAGTTCCACGGCGACCCGCTGGACGCAAAACACTGCCACTGTTGCCAATGCCAGCGTCTGCACGGTGCACCCTTCCAATGGGCCGTGATCTTCCCAAAAGTATGGAACCGCTTGTTCCAGTTACACTACGAGAATTCTGATGCACCTGCATATTAGACTTCCGTGCGAATGGTTCGCAACGAAGGAAATGCGCTGCATTTCTTCTCCACAGAGGATCAGACCGCGGAGCACAGTGTCCCATGCAAGGTGTCATGCAACGTTTGTCGGTCGCCGATCTTCGACGAGGGTCGCAACACAGTGCTTGCCTATCCGTCCTCCTTCCGGTTCAAGGATAATCGCATTCCCCTTGATTTCCAACCAACGGCACACATCTTTTATGGTCAGCGGTGAGGATTTACCTCGCGCACAGGCGATGTACGGCTGCTGAGCGACTTCGGTCAGTGTCATGGATGTACCTGACGGCGTACCGAAGTGGTCAGGTCACAAGGGTGAAAGTAAGCTCATGCAGGAAATAGAGGAAAAGGAAGGGTATGCTGCGCGTTGATTTGTGCTGCATTCTGCATTATCATAACGCCGCTTCTCTCTTCCAGGACCTTGCCGAAATACAAGGGCAAGCCGTACACATACACGAAGGGGGAGAAGGAAGCCCAAGGCCCAGATGTGAGTATCGGCATACGGCACAAACAGCAGTAAGAAGTAGACATTGAGATACACATTCCACAGACATGATGTATTCTGGCCAGCACTCATCCGCAAAGCTGTAAACTACCATCGTTTGTGTCTTATAACGTTCTTTTAGTACTGTGTATTTCTAGATAGTAGCAGCAATATTGTCTCGTGCCATAATTTGCGTACTGGATTTCAAAGAACAGCATGCTTTTAAGCAGTGGATATCCCAGAGTGACTCGTCGAACTCGGCACGCGACAACCTCATACTTAAGAGTCGAGATAAGGACATCAAACGCGTCTGTCACATGCACGTGCTCGGTGACAACTGGAGGAGCACCTCAGTTACTACCCCCAGTCAAGCAGCCCCGGCCGCATGTACACAACAATCGAACATTGACCACTGGCTGTTCATTAGGTCAATGCACATCTTTGATTTGGTGGAACTTACGCGGCAGTGGGTTTGACGCGTCCTTTGCATAACAAAAGGAACCATGACGATGCGCACTGCGCAGCCGCTAGACCGCCGACGGTCACTAGTAGCGTTGGTGCTGAAACCGGTGCCCGAACGCGACACAATATTGCAGTCGATCTCACAAGGAAGACTGCCTTCACCTCAAGTAGAGTGGCAAGATTCATGTTTATTCCTCCGACTACAGCTTAGACCGATGATGCTACTGTGAATGACTGTCCAGGCTGAACTCGAAGCACAGTCAAATAGCTACAAACAGGAGATGAGCTCGACACCTTGAAACGAGCCCAAGTTAAAGCTTACCGCAGACGTCAGCTGTAGCGTCCGGACGACGGCTGTTTACTTGCTCTTCGGGGGCTCGGCGCAGCCGCACGTCGGCCATGCGCAGGTGCCGCCGTTCTTCTCAGTAGTAGCGCACTTAACGGTGTCCTGTATGTAAAACACCAAGTGAGCGGTGACCCCCAAATGATCTACCTGATGGGCGAGTGCGGAGCAGTACTCACAGACATTGTGTTCGAGTGTTGTATGTAGTCGAGGACTGGGGATCCGTCGATCATCTGTCGTGCTTTTATAGCCATGAGAAGGCCCCTTCCACGATCGCGATCGCATGTACCGACTCCCCCGACAGTCCGTTACTCCCGCAAACACGCAGTCACGCATTGGCTGTGATTGTCTTGCCAATCGCAGTGATCATGTATGTCACCAACGCTCTGACTCCTCAAGCCCCACACCGCGAGTCTCATTCCCTCTGCGACGGCGGTCCGACGGCCTAGTGTGGATGCCCTGTCCTGCGAGCGT